AATGGCGGCCTTGATGGCGACATGTTCTTTGAAAATGAAAAGGTGGCGATCTGGCGAAAAGTTGGCGATATTTGCATGGACGATGCTCTTCTGAAATATCAACAATTGTTCCTCCCTTGGCAGTCCCCGCGAGATTAACCCGTCGAGTTGAGGCTTCGCACCCCTTGGTGGTCACCTTGGAGACCTGCAGAATATCTCTTTCCAAAGACTCGTTTCTCGAGGTGTTCCCCGAGGCATATAACCTCCAGAAATTTGAGCGAGGAGAACACCACCTTATTTCCCTTGGTTCTTACGATGTTCTCTGAACATTACAGGATATCCTTTTTCGTGAGAACCAGAACAAAAAGAAAATATTGCTGTACTGTTGATAGTGCTTTCATTCAGAAGGGAAAACATAATTCAGAATCGTGTTCACACCGTCAACTCATAAAAATGGGGATTTATATCGTACTTCGAAGTTCATCAACAGCCCAAAGTATCGGGCTAATTCTACAACAATATATCACTGGATATTGATACTGATTAACAAGATAATTCATCTCATAATCTGGGAATACGTTTTCGAATTGGTATTTCTTCAAAAATCATTGCAATGTTAGGTTATCTCGCAACCCATCCTTGCAAGAAAGAGATATATTTTGGCTTCATTTAAACTTTGTGAGAATGCTTACAATTATTATAATGTCTGAACCTGATGTCCAAGGTGTGTTATTTATCGACAAGAATAAATATAATTATAATTTATGTAGGTATATAATTATCCATTCAAATTGATTATCGACTTGCTCTGAAACTATGTTGATAGATAGATACTAGATATACATATTCTAATTAGTGAAGTAGGCAAGTAATTCAAGATTGTTCATAATATCTTGGTTCATATTCTCAATTATTCCGCAACAAAAACTGAATAATCATAACCACAATATTAGCTTCTGATTGGAAATATACTATATATACTATATCATAAACCACGGTCATCATTTTCTGCAATCCGTGGTAGGAAAGATCATATTATTATATATTCAATTGTTGCACAAGTCAGCGTAACATAACCAAACATTTTACGCCTTGGTAATTATAATGATTATTACTTTTTATTCAAAATACATACCCATTCATAATTCAGTGCAGAACATTATTTAGCATAAAGAATGAGAAGGTGAATTTGCACTAATTAGTGGTGTAGTTGTACGTACAATCAGTTTTGTAACAATACTTAATATCTGCAATTGCAATTGATTATGAAATTATTGTATATGCATTTGGAAATAAATTTTGAATTGCGGATATGGAATTGAAACGTTTCTCACAATGCCATCTGGCATTATCACATTGTATATTCCTAATAGGTACAAGAGGTGATAATAATTGTATACGCAAAAGGAAGAGTCCATGCAGTACCAAGAAATGTTTCTCTTTCGTTTATCGCTTTACCTGTATGAAAAAAATGAAATTTGGGTTAATGATATCGATGCATTATGAATACGCCCAGACGCCATCTTGAAATTTTTTTCTGTCAATATATTCGAGTCCAAAATATAGTTTTCATGCATATCGAAAAAATTATCCCAAATTTCATTTTCTTGAATTGATGACGCATTCAAACAATTAAAGGGGGGAGGACATTAAAGAAAAGCACTGTACCTATATTCAATAGTAATATTATATATAAGTACTTCAAGATTCGGGTTATACATCGATAACTTGTTGCATAATTATTACAAAAAGTGCCAGTTTAACAGTTGAAATAATCCGACCACTATGCGAAGGATTATTCTGTTAAACTGACATGCACAATTTGAAATTATTGTGCAGGATTCTTGGGATGTATAACCTCCAAGATTTTGAAGTTCGAATTGTATTCGATGCGATTATTTTTTGAGTAGTCCGAACGAACGTCAAAATTTGACAACGCGCCTTTTTTGTATGTAACAGGATGAATTAGTTACTATGGAAATGGAAATGAATCTTTTCTGATTGGTGGAGCTACTCTTCGTTTCAAATGAATTAAGCTACCTCCTATTATTAATTCAATTGAACGTTCTGATTGGTTTAAAATAATTCGTAGAAAATGATCTCTCATATAAAGATTACATCAACTACTCACCTATATATAAAGGAATAAAACAGAATTATGAATTTTCTTATCGAAAAATTTATAAACACTTCAATGAATACCAATTGAATATATTGCGTAAAACAGTTACAAATCAGATTTTTTAGTTCCCACAGGAAGTCTAACACCTGGTTTTTCAACACATCAATCTGGACGAGAGATGGACACCAAAAATCCAACTTTCACAATTCACAAATCACCGGCGCTAATCATGTCACAAAATTATTCAAATTTAATTTTTTCAATTATAAAGTAGATGCCCAACGGAATATTCAAATGAGAAATTGATTCCTCCTAAATGTCGTTCGGTAGCTCTAAGTTAACTTAAAACCGTCAGCAGGACTAGAAAACAACTTTTTATAACGAGTAAAGACGTGAAATTTATTTTGGAAATATTTTAATTACGACCATTCAGTATGTCGAAACGAGAGGCTTAATTATAGAAGAGATGTTTTCCGACGGGATTCTATGGTAATATTTCTGATAAATCACACCATTTCCTGTACAACAAATTGATGATTGAATTTAATTTTCTCAAGTAGTCGGATTTATTGTCTGGGTCGATATGAGAACGGAAATGGCGTTTTAACGTTTATTTAAAAAGAATTTGCCTAATATTAACATTCAGGCGACTTTGATTATCCTGTCGACATATATTTTCGATTCAAAACTGTCTAATTATGGAAATATATAGCCTAAACAATTTTTCAGATGTTATAGGTACGTGTATTTTTTATAAATCGTACTCTGCTCCTATTTCTCAACAACATTTCTGTCTAAATGTCTGTGATAAATTATGAATATACCTACCGAATCTGGTCGATTTCTGATTTTCTAGAAATAAACAATGTTGATTCTTCACACAATGAGGTATGTATATACCAACCAACCCATACTTATGAAGAATCATCTATTGAAATAATTCAGTGGTGAAATTTATATACCTACCTGTCTATTTGATATTCAAGTATTCTCTGTTTATTCGTTTTATGATGACACGGAATCGCACGGAATTGTACTGTTCTATGTTCGGTGTTATGTTATTCCAATTCTAACCTATAAATAAATGAGATCGAATGATTTTGTTGTTGAATTTGTTCAGTACCAGAGGTTCAGGTGTTCATTTCTGCACGTGTTGAATGCGAAAGTATGTGTTTCTGTTTACCTGTGATTGTGCCAAGACATTGATGGTAAAAAAATTGTGAAAAATTCAATGAGTAGGTAGGTGTAGGTATTTATAGTGCAGAACAAAATGTCCTCATCCTATTCACAAACTTCTATAGAAGTCACAGATATGTATAGATACATGGATGAGTAGGATAAATTACGTATAGATTTGATATTAATGATGTGCTATTCGTTTGGCTATTTGTATTAGGAATGACATTTTTTATGCTGATGTCACAAATTGAAAAATGGCCTCGAAAATGGCAATAAGCTGTAGATTTGATAAAAAAACCAATGATGAGATGAAGAGATATCCACTTCCGGTAGTAGTAAATCAAAGAATGTCTTTCCTATATAGTCTTATTGATCGATCAATGAAAATTTCGAGGAGAATTTTTAAGATGAGCTAAGCATGTTTCGTTGAACTATTACAATTGTTCTGTATTTTCTCCTATGAAGTATAATGTACTTTCTCTACGGGCATACATACATATAAGTATGATGTTGAGAAATACCTTCGACGATCAGGAAATCATAAGGGTGGGTGAGTACATGAGTTGGTAAATTTGTGAAACTTTCTTTTAGTTTTAAGGATCGGTATTGATCTGTGGGGTGTTAATGATATTAGACTATACCTTCAATACCTACCTATATCATATGAAGATCCTTTATGGTCTGTTCTAAGGGACCATGATATGGTTTCGACATATTTAAATCTTTTTTTTTGATCATTGAATAATCAAACTCAAATACGAAGAATTTAATAACTGATCGTTAGGTCACTTAATAATTCATTCATTATAATATGTATATATATATATATATGATTAACTTTTTCATAATGAATAACTGTTGTGAATCACTTTAGAATTGAAGCTTCAGTGACCATAACAATAATATTTCGTTTTAGAAATAAGTATATACTCTAGAGCAGCGATCCTAAATCTTTTTGGATAGTTTATGTAGGTACCACAAAATTCTTTTCATAATCCTAAGTACATACCTACCACTTCACTAAAATACCCATCTGTAGGTAATCGAATTATTTGTGATTTACCTACTACATTATTCTATACAAGATAACCAGTGTTGCCAATGCTATCCTGATGTATTTAATTTTTTGCCATCTATATAAATTTATTATAGTGAGATTTCTTGTTGTGTTCGTTTAATTGTAGGTATGTGGTGTTCGATTTTGCGTGTTGAACTCGGTGTGGAGTCTGTTTTAGTGTACCACCGCGAATATAATAATTTATGTACCACAAGTGTGGTAGATATGGTACCACAGGTTGAGAACCACTGCTCTAGAGCGCAATGAAGTTGAAAACAAAAATGTGTTCTATTTTAAATCCTAGAGAATAGTCAAATGAGAATTCATGGTAATATCTCCTATCAAGACCTGATATCTCCGCTGGAGTTGAATCCAGTGAAGATTAATAAGCACTTCTTGATACACAAGTTTTAAGAATTTGTAAGTTCTATGCTGGGATAAGTTGATTAACATCAAATCTGACACCGAAGATTCCTTTCACAGTTATTTTGACCTTGAAATTTTCTTGGATATAGTTAGGTATCCTTGAATAAACAAATTTTCATATGACACCGTCATTCTTGTTTTCCTTTCATCACCTGGATAATCTCAAATAGACTGGTTGGTACTATATTCTCGGTACTGTATCTATGTTAACTGTAGCAATATTACAATGTGACTCACATCATCATCCTCGAGGGTACCATAAACGTCCAGTTTATCGATCCTGATCGTGCCTTGGAAGGGATAACAGAGCGACCCTTGCGGTATAGTAGTGTTCGACCATACGGACACCTCAGGCTCCCTCCTGTTAGTACCCAGACCAGGACTCCTAACGCACAAACTAAACTCCTGAGGGATCAGGACACAGGTCTCCATCTTAACGAAAAGTCCTAACACATAATATATATATCTAAAATGTTCAGCAAACACAACAGTGGTAAAAAAGTGCGTATAACGTCTGTGCAAAAAAATCAACGAGAATTCTTCAAGCTTGGAGGGCTGAAGGAGGAAAATTCCAGGAGGGATGTGGGAAATTGGATGGGTTTTCGCGCGCGCGGTTCGGGTACCGCTTTGATCTAGTGACCGTAGCCTTGCTTGAGTGGCACTGAACTAGGCACTAACATTGACCCTCACGTCTTGTCTCTAAGTCGACTCCCCACCCTCTAGTCCACGTGGTGCCGGCGTACCGCACAGGTACCGTCTCTTTTGATTCGGACAGGTGGTACTGGGACGTGAGACGCGGCAGACTCGATCGTGTAGAGGCTCCGCCACAATCCAGTAAGCGGTTTCATAAGGAACTCAATGCATGGGTTTCAGGGGCTTCAGAGGAGTTTGGTGTGATCTTAATGGATGGGTGTTGACTTGAATTCGTCATAGACCTTTGGTATCTATACCTGGATGTTCTAATTTCAACACTTTCAGCCCTCGAGATTTGACATGTAGAATACAATTTTTTCAATGATGATGATTTAACGATTTTATCGCATACAAGAGCTTATATCCACCAAATATTAATTGTTTTCCTTCTTATAATATGTAAAAATAATAACCTTATTTGAAAAAACAGTACAGTACAAACCTGTAAAAGGTTGTAGAAACAAACGGGCGTCACACAATATAGGCTTCTAAAACCATCACAAAAATGTATAGTACTAATAGAAACATGAGAAGAGATAAAAATAATGACTGAACAATTTATTCTAAGTTTGCCTCAAGGTAATCACTTATGGAGTAGAGGGCTCCAGGTTTATTAGAAGTTTCTATATCTCTTTTTTCAAAACGTTTGGAGAAGAAAGAGACTTACATCTTTCTGGTGAATTGTTGAAAAATGTTATTGTATTTATATGTAGGTCCTGTTTCGATATTGCTGACAAAACAGGCAACAGTAAGCAATTTAGGAACACTGAACAGAAGATATAGCTTTGAATTCTCATTCATTTCGGAATGATTTTGGCAGTACTGGTACACGTACTGGCAGCAAAACAAAACCATAACCTATGATCTTTTGATTTTCGATATTTTGTTTCGTTGATGGTTTTTATTGTCATCATTCTGGTTAATATCTTCTTCAAAACACAACAATCTCTGTGAAATATTTGATATACCCACCTATGTGAGATCTAATAGTTCGTCTTCATACATTGAAGATAATTTGAGTTTGAAGGTGAACAAATTATACCAATTTCATGTTTATTTGTGTTGATATTTCTTCCACTTGTGTAAATGATGGAAAGCATGTTCCTTTCCTCTGCTATTTCAGTGAATATTCTATTCGGTAAATAACTCATAGAAATACATCAACATCAGAGTCTCGTCCTGATATAAGAATTATCGTCATCGATGAATACCCAATGGGTAGAGAAAGATGTTTTTTTTCTGAGACGGGAAAAAAGATTGACATTCAATCTCTGTTGACAGGTAAATGTCACATTTCATAAATAACTTTTTCCACACGGGAAAAAGGTGGGTACTTTTTTCCCGGATATACACTGTTGATGGATTTGTTTTGCTATATAGTTCCGAAGAATAAGCCAAAAACATATATATACCGTCTCCGAGAAAAACAGCGAAACAGTGAAAAAGTCATTTTCATCTTACATTCCACTTTGCGGTTGTATATATAATTTACTAAACAACCACTGAGTTTGCAATTTTTTGAGATCAAATCACAAAATTTGACTGATAGATATTGGCGAGTTAGGTACTCCAAAAATGATGCAGGTGTAACTTTTGGTTAAAAACTTCAAACTTCTAATATAATGTCATATCTTTCCAATACTGATTCGTCCTTTTTCCTGTTATTACTTTTTTTCCTTTTATACTGAATTACTGTTCTTTCCCAAATAATTTTTCTCTAGTTTTTGTCGCAATGTTTCTGCCATCAAAATTGCCAACGAAATCATCTTCATCGTCGTCAGATTCTTCATCATGTTTATGTTCTTTTTCTTTTTTTTCTTCTTCTTCTTTATATTGGAGTCTGGCATTGCTGACATAACAGCCTGGAGCCTGGACATCCCTCTCAAAGTCACTCTCTTAAAAACAGTTCTTAATACATACCTATAAGGAGATGAGAGATGAAAATATTTTTGGATCTATCAAATGAATAGCTCAAGAGGTCTTCATCATGTATAACTATGTCAGATTCTTTGTGTGCTTTTTCGTCCCTATTATATGACTTTTATAGTTTGATGCATGCCGACTGATCAAGACTAGATTGTGCTTTATTTTACAATGAGATCAAGCTGACATTATTCCAAATTTTGCGGTAGGTAAATCAATATTTTCATATGACACATGTGAAATTTAAAGTAGATGAATGACATGAATGATCATATTAAAGCTATAAGCGATTATGTGAACATCAATCACACTATTGATACATCAGCTGACAGAACGAAATCTGAACCCTATCAGAACAGAACTCTAGATCACACGCAAGGACCGCATTCAAGGACATCCGAGATCTCCCAGTAGGCATCGCACCTGTTCGTCCTCGGGCAATAAGTAGGCGAGGCCTATATTGTTGACGCCCCCCACCAATAGTGGACCTACCGAGCGATGGGGAGCCGGCCAATAGCGAGACTGAGTTTCACTTGGGCGTGGCTGCCGTGCTGTACAATTTATGCAGATTGCTGTATGCAAAGTGGATGTGAGTATCTGGAAATATTGTTTATGGTTGGCGTGGTTCAAGGTGGATGGTTGGATGTTGAATTACCGTCTTGCGATTCCAATAACATCGAGTTGAACCAGTGTCGTAGCTATCGATTAGCCAGTAGGCGATATCTATAGGTATTCCCGCAATATATATATATATAATGTATACATATATAAGGTTTGGGGAGGCATAAACTATATGATCATATCGGGGGAATAAAATTACAAGCCTATAATACTATGATTATAGGTATAAACCGAAGGTATAAACCTACTCACGTCTAAGAAAATGCAATTTTTTTGATCATTTTGGTCAGGATAGTGATTCGCACAGATGTCGTTCTATGAAGTACGATATTTGTACTCTCCTTTGGGACATATATCATTTTCTTATCAGATGACGGTAGAAATCTGCACCCGTTTTCCCTACTATAAAAAGAAAAATGGCTTCTTGAATGAGGATCAGAGGTGAAAACACGGTAAGCCAATGAAATTGGATCCGGCAATGAGAGAATCAATTTCTAAGCACATTGAGAGTTTTCCACGGATAAAATCCCACTACTTACTCAATCAAACGACACGTGGATACATAGATGGTGGTTTGAATATTGCAACCTCTATGTATAGGATAAACACTTATGGAAACATTTTCAATCATTAATACAACATTGGTTTTTTTATTCCAAAAAACGACCAATGCACCTTTTGTGAAAATTACATGCAATAATTATTGATGGAAAAACTTTGCTTCGGCATGAGGAAGATGGTAGATAGGTACATACATGATAATGAGAAATTGTTCTCAGGATAACAGAAGGAACATGACAAGACGATTGCGAAACAGGGATTGCTGAAAATAAAAATGACTTGTTTTGACTTCCAAGCAGTTCTGTCTGCTCCTTGTGGCAAAATTTCTGATTTTCATCACAAAATCAAACTGAGTACTTTCAAGTCGTCTTTTTTTAAATGAACAACAATCATGGATATTGTTATATACATGTGGAGCGAAGCTGTCGCTCATTGAGGTGTCAACGAAGTTGGGACAATGTTTTTTATTCAGACAATTGCATTCATGGGGAGAAATAAAAGTCAATTCATGATGATTGCACTTTACTCGCACCTTGTTTCGAAAAATGACATAGATAGTATAACACATATATTCCTGATAGTGAGACATACGCAGAATGAAGTATACATTCTGGTTCACTCAATGATTGAGAAAGAGAAAAAATGAGCGCTCAAATCAGAACCTATTCATATTCCGGAACAATGGATGCAGCTTGTTCGTACTGCAAAAGAAAACTGATGGTGAACCATACCAAGTTACAGAGATGAAAAATTATTATAAAGGAATCCGAATATTGGAATAATCGTGGTAATTCATTTCAAACCAAGCTTTGCTGATGAGTATGGGCAGATACTTTTGAAGTTAAAAACACGAGAAATATCGTGGTCTGGAAAGTTAGCTGATCTAAAATAGGCTTACATGCAAGAACGCATGCACAATTTCTGAAAAGAAGAAAGGAGGCTTAGTATATCTGTGCCAGAAAAATAATCAAGAAACCTTACCATAACTTCTACCTCAACTTGAATGCATCCGATAGAGTTGAGGCTGACGAATAATAATTGTCAATGAGCTTTTATCTACATTTTTGTTGGAATCTGAATAATATCCATATTCAGTGTTCAGTCATCAATAAATTACCATCGTTATCATGAACGAAGCTTCATTTATATCAAGAAAATGATACATGTCTAGTGCAATAACTGCATATTAACTCTTGTTTATTTCTTATCATTCGAACTTTTTCTTCACATCTCAATACATTTCTGATGTCAAATCATAGGAAATGGCCAATTTTGGCCAGCACAGATAACGTCATTTTTGATGCACATGATGCAATATTCCTCATATATATCTTTCTCATAATTTCTCCTGAATATATTTTTTCCAGTTGTGTCGTTATGCATTCGTTGTGCAATGCTGTAGTCGCGATGTGTGAGGTGGAATCTGTTTTTGTCTTCAAATTGTTCATTTTGAGTTTCTGTACAATCTTTTTCATTTTATGAATGATGAAAATCGAATATGTTTTTATATGTAGACCGTGTATTATTATGTTCCTATGATGGACCATTCAGGGAATTTCAGGAATATTATAGCTAACAATGAAGAACCATTGATAAATTCGATAAGTTACTCAATAGTTTCAAAAAGATTCATAATAAGAAAATTATGAGGTAAATTCCTTAGGGTGGCCATCATAGGCACATTTCCCCAACAGAGTTTTTTATCCAGAGATATTTATAATCGCAAAGGGATAAACCCATATAAAATCATTGCGAAATTACCAGCAGTCGAGATACCGAAATTTTGTGTTTATTTATATTATAACATAACACGCTGTAGACGGTACGCAGAGCGGAGAAGTTTCGAAACACTTTCTGGGTAAACTCTATTGAAAATCCTCGGGAAATTTTGTCGGAAATATTACACAGGAAATTTCATATATATGAGGTTATTTCGGATTTTCATGAAACTGTATATTATATAATTATATTCAATTCTATTAGAGGAACGTGATTCACAGTGCTCAATTCTTTTTCAAAATTCAAAATATATTCAATATTTTTATATAGGTAAGTGGGTAAGTATAGGTATCGAGTAGCCTGGGAGTTCAGTTGTCAAACAGATCATAAACAAAAATGAAAATCGACCTATCTGCCGGAGATATTTCATTCAGATGAAAATTTGATGAAGTGATTGTGAATGCTTTCAATATGGAAGCACACTGCTACTTCTCAGATACTATACTTGGTTTCAGTCTTCTCTCAATCGATGCTTGCTAGCCAATCAGCATAACAGCTTGCGAATAAATTTTGATAGGTATATATTTGTATGATTATATGGGTTATCAATTATTAATAATTCCAGATATTTCTTTATAAATGCAATATACCTAACTGTTTTCCCGTGCATTGAATTTTGATAACCACTTCAACTTCATTATTTGGCATCTTTTTTCTCGTTTTTCTTTCACCACAAAATCCTTCTTGCCACGGGTCGCGTACAAAAACCAAACTTTGGTGTACTTTATTGGTACATGGACTTGATTTCGAAGATGATGAAATACCTACCTACTTTGTTGAAATATAACCAACCATAGGAATATATACAAGGATAGTTCTTTGAATAAGATTCAAAACAACAACAATGCGGAGAGCTAATCGAAATGAGGAGTGAATAGGTATCCTTTATGAGTTCAAATATATCCATCGAAAGGTGACGCCCCTGGACTGAAATTAATTCCTACTAACAACTCCTTATCTTCCGTCTCGTCTATTTAGCGCATCTAATGTAGATAAATAAATGTTGCCTCTCGCATATCACACATGGCTCTGGAGTCTGGTGGCTCTGTCTGCGTATGAATCGTATGATCTAAGGTGGTCTAAGATCTAAGGTTTCTAACGCATGCGATCCACCGCTAGAGGGACAGCTGTGATGTCACAATTTGAGGTTTCATGCATCGACTGGTTACATGCAAGAACGCTCGATTTCCGTGGCCAATGACGGCTAAATATCTAGACTGTCTGACGAGTTATACCCGTGACGTTATGTCGGAGCCATGACGGCTAAATGGACTGTCTGACGAGTACTACATGACTGTCCAATCACTCAGTTCAGTGTATTCTCCACCAGAGGGGTTTACTTGCCGTCCTTTGCGGAGAAGTCATTTGTTTAGCTGTTATTCGGTTGTTTTCCAATAACATAGGTTATATTGAATTATTATTATTATCAAGTGTCAAAGCTGTGTCACTGTCAGGTCCCTGATGTGTTCTGTTGAATATCGATAAATTCCTTTACTTTTTCGGATTTTCATTCAATCAAGCATTCTTCTTTGTGTTTAGTTCTGGTAGTTTATTTATTCAGGTTTGCTAGTTGTGTCCTCATCATGTATTTACAGCCTTCTAGCGTATGAAATGAAATGTATGAATAATCGTATCGAATATGGGGTTTGCTTTTTCGAATCTCATACCCAGTGATAAACTCCCACAGCAAGAATGGTCGAATTTTATTTTGGAAGGCATTGGTAAGAATATGATTTTTCATGTACACTTTTCTGATGATTTTCAATTTTAGCCTCAATTCCACCATTAGAACACTGGTGTTAATTCTGGTGTTGAAGTTTGTGTCAATGATTTTGGAAGACACTATAGAGTGATGATCAATAGCACTACATATGGCGACTTATCAGGATGGGGACATACATTCAGAAAGGATCGCTCACCATAATTTTCAAGGTATGTTTAGTCTGCATTGTTTTTGCATAGCTAGGTAGGGTAGGAGTAGTATTGTTGAAAACTGTTTCATGTGAGCCTGATGGTTCAAGCCATCAATGCAACGTATTCAAACTTAAATTACCATATACCTACAGGATGGGCATCCCAAAAAGCAACACCAAGAATGAAAGAAGAATGGAATTTAAGGTATGCGCTTTGAATCCCAGAGAATCATCAGTCTAGGCCAACATCTGGAGTTTTTTCAAGTGCCACAACTACAATTTGAGGTATTTTGTGTTCCTGCTTCCTGGCAAATATCACAGAATAATGATACTATCAGAGATTTTCAAAAATGTTTTTCACTGCTGTGATGATTTTGTCACAAAAAATTTAAATTAATTATTTGGCCTAAGTTTATGTATATTATGTATGCCCATCTATCAATGAGATCCTGTATAGTTTTCTTGATAGAAGTATTAGATGGTATGTGAAATAAAGAGGCCTGTTTGTTTGTATTGCTAAACTTGCTGAGGTTGATTTTTTTCCCATAGTTGTCTCTGTTCATAGCATGATGTAAACAGAAAGTCATAGAAAAAAATCAAGTTTAGCAGGCAGACCAAGCACAAACGAACATGCCTAAGGTAAAATGTCACTGATACTAGCCCACTAACTATAGCTTCCCCATAAGTAGATCTAAAAAGATGAAAAGAGTGCAAACTCAACTTTTGAAATGCATATAACTATTTCTGTCTCCACAAAGTTTCGAAAATGGTTGAAAAATATGGATTGATAGATAGATAGATGATACGTATAGAAAGTATTTATTCTAGTAATATAATAATAATTTTATTCCATAGACAGTCACCATAATAAACAATTTCCTTTTCCATTAAATTAGCTTATGATGAGCTTATATTTGAACTCAAAACATGCTTCTTCTCTCTCTCATCATCTTCCTCTTTTATTTCCAGTGTCCAAAGGATCTCCAGGTAACCTAGCTTCATCCTCCAAAGTCAAGATCCCATATCCAAGCCGTTTTATATTTATTGTGTTGCCATCCCCAGAACCTATAAAGAAATGTTGCTATAGAACATTTAATGATTTTGAAGCTGGCATAGTTCTATCAATTTTGCAATACAATTTATCTGTATATCTGATATGAAATATATAAGTATGAAATGATGAATTGATATTCAATTTGCTATTCATGGAGATACCTGATATTGTAGTTAAATTGCCTGATTATTTTTCTGAACCCTCACCGAATTAAACAACTGTTCACCAAGCTCACCTTATAGTAAATATTCTGGTTATGCATAGATAGCATCATCAGAATTGAATGTCTCCAGTCATCATTCAATCAAACCTCATGAAGAGCTGCTTCAACATTGTGTTGAGAAAATTCAGTATCTTCCTGAAAATACAAATTAAGAAATATCACTTGAGATCACAGATTTTGTGGAACAATATGAAATGTTGCAGTACATTTCACTTTGAGAATACAGCAGTATCTGGTTATTAGGGCTACAGGGCTACCATAGCTCTTATTAGGCAGTTGAAAATTCAATCAATGAAATAATTGAACATGTCCTTACCTATTTACGAATTGACGAAGATGATTTCCACTTGAATGGCATTATTATTTATGCATATAATAGCGTTATTTGGCATGAACACTCCTAACCACTTCATTTTGTTGGCCTTTTCACAGTTTTACTTGGTATCTCGAACAAAGCTCTCCAATCTCGAGTGACAATGAGTGACAGGCTGACAGTGAGAAAATTTGTCAAAAAATAATGCAGGTTATGTTGAAAGCTCATTTGACACAGGAAATAGATGACGCCACTTGCCGTCCCTTCAAAATTTCATTACAGGGCGATTTGGAGATTTTCGCTGAATGAACAGTCATGTATAACCCGTCAGACAGTCCATTTAGCCGTCATTGGTCGGAGCAAATGTCGGAGCAACTTGGAACCTGCCAAACGAACGTACCACCGAATTCATCGATCATGCGTAGATGAGAAACTTTTCTCTTCGCGCATTTGCGCATAGGTGGCAGGGCACACTGTTGTTTTTGTCACTTGTCAGTTCACAAATAAGTATCGCAAAATAATTCATCACAAACAAATAAATACTCGAGTCAAGATCAAGATAAATCGTCTTTCAAGTGAGTGAACAATGTGTAACAGGCGAGGTAAAACATAGGTAAATTACACTTATGTTCTGCATTATGTCCAAACATCGAAAGTTATCTGGCTGAATGTCTTCCTGGTGAGTATATCTTCCGAACACTCTTTTTTGTTATTCTTATAAGGCCTATACTCATGAACGTTGAACTCAATATAATTTCAGGTGGAAACAATGGGATGTGTGAGTAGCAAAATAGATATAAATGATAGACATCCTAATATATTCCAAGTGATCAATGTCAACGACCAAGGGCGGCCGATAAGTCCTGGGAAACTACAAGTCACTGAAACTGAACTTGTTTTTTACCAGAGAGGTAAAAAGCCCACAAAGTGGCCTTTGAGATCCTTACGCAAGTATGGATTCGACACTGCAGTGTTCAGCTTCGAATGTGGCAGGAGATGTCCAACAGGACATGGGATATATGCCTTCAAATGTAAGAAAGCTGAACACTTATTCAATATCGTGCAACTCCACATAACTGGGAATGTCAATGAAGAAAACAATTCAAATTTGAATAGTGACTTTCCTATGAATGGCCCCCCTGTTGTTGCACGAAGACCAACCATGGTAAGTAAAAATGATGGTAAAATTCAGGTTACAACTAATAAAGTTCAATTTGTATTAGAAAAATAGCAGTATCCTATATGAATATGATTACTTGTATTGAGGTAACTTATATTAATTGAGTTTATGTGCATTTATTCATTTTGATTATATCAGGATAAGTCATACAGGTTAATCCGAAAAACATGTTGAATTCACGTGCACTTCTCAGCTGTTTTCAATCTCTGATTCTTATTAATTCCGCTAAGCTGGCATAATATTGTGTTGTTGCAGGTAAACTGAATTAGAGTGTGTCAATTGGAGTATACCTAGTACAAGTGACCTTAGTAATGTGAAAATTAATAAGTAATTTCGATTTTTTGGGTGCCCGTCAACTTATAAAAATTTTTCAAGTTTGTTAGCATTCTCTTGACTTTGCAGTGAATTAGCAATTCCTGATAGGGCTACTTCGATGATTTTTCATTCCAAAAATCAGTTAGATTAGAAAAAAGCTATGATAAAATCAAAACGCTGGTGTAAGGTTCACATGATGAATTGATAAATGATGGGCATCAGAGTTGAAAAGTTTTTCAAAACTTGCGTTGATGAGCAATTAGAGAAATATCTATCTCAAACACATACATAATTATGATAATTCAAAGTTGATTCCAAATTATCTGAGTTCCCAGACAGTGTTGCCAAATGCGTTCAACAAATAATCTCGTCCATCGCGAATAGGCAAGAAATGTCCCATGTTTCCATAGAAAATCCCTCTGAACTTGAATTGAGCCACATTTTGAACAGACTGTCCTTTATTCAAATGTCCTTGAATAGAGGTTATCTGGTAGCAATTTTATATTTTTTCCGTCAGGACTTCGATCGTTCAGAATCAGAAGATTTCTTACATAATGTGTTATTTGATTGACTTAGCAGACGATGCCGATGGCCAATGCTGAAAAATGTTACGTCGTGAACTGCGAAGTTCTGAGCACGAAATCACCAAAAGGCGGTCTGATATCCATGTAATTCCCCCGTGCAGTGAGTCCCTCATAAAGGATAAATTCCTCTAGGTGGCAACACCGTTCCCAGTCTTGAGGTATCTCAAGTTAAACTTGACAATCATTCACAGATTCTGACACGATGATATAATTTTAAAAATACTCTAACACAAAAGCTACTCCTATTATGTCATGCTACAAGTAAAATTCATCAAATTTTTTGTGTACAAATGTTTTATCTACAAAAGTTGTGCAATTATTGCAGTGTGATAAGTATATCGCACGTTGACGTGATGCTGAACGTTGACGTGAATAAGGTCTATAACCAATAGCGTCTTCACCAAGGGCATACTGGGCCTTCAGGACCCCCATCCTCAGGAGCCCTGAAGGACCGACACATTCATATTTTCCGAGCCAATACCTAACAGCGCCATCGTCAAAATTTTTGTAACATCATCAATGACATATAGGTACTATATTGTTTATTTGATTACCCATAATGAACATAGGCCTTCGAACGACTTTTGTCTTTGTTCAAAACTATTCTGTAGATTCACTTCTGGGACAGAAAAATCCCAACTTGTCTTAGGGTACTTTCCCTGACTGAAGAAGACGAACCGAAGTCGAAACATGCCACAAACTTAACAGGTTTTCGAACCAAAGACTACTTTTTGTTTCTTTGGATTCTCAGACTTTTGCTTTTGAACAACAGGGACAAACGCGACACAAAATTCGTGGAGATTTGCGAAGTTCCAAAAGTTCTTTTGCTTTTGTCAAATGAATCCGAAGCAGTCAAATGGGATTCGGGGCTTTCGACCTTCGGGGTTTCATCAGTTAGGCGAAGAAGCCTAAGCGCTAATTTGATTATTAATTTGATTTAGTTGGTTCGAGAAGTAGTTCTCAAACGCAAAGAACAATGTTTGTTCATTTTGCCAAACACACAAAGCTTTGCCAGTGTCGGCATATGCGGAGTTCTACAATTTTGAGCGACTTTTGTCTTTTGTGCTATGCACTTTTGTCTTTGCTCAAAACTATTCTAACATTAAAATGTCAGTATAATGTGTGAACAAGGGCCCCAGCATAGTTTAAGATGGCCTTGTCTAGCACCAATTAATATTCCATTTCCAAATACTAAAAGCATTTCATGAATATGGATATACTACATAACGTAAATTCTGACACTATATATTTTTCATGAATTCTATTCCAGACTGAGGGTTATTTGAACCCAGTGGTACCAACTGTAGCACTAAGAGCACACACAATGACAAGTAGGCCGAGTTCGGTAAGTAGCAACGGGCCATTGAGTCCTACAGCACTATCATCACCCCCTCCAGAACACAACAACAATAAGCGGGCCAGCTTGGTTCCGGAATCTTCTACCATTAGTAATACAGCCAAAGAAACTGAAAGCATCTTGCCACCATATGCCAATTTGGCTTCTAACGAAGCGAACCCGGAAACCTCTAGCCACGTATACATGAACATAGATACCAGCAATGCCAAAGATCTACCTGAAGAAATCGACGAAAAACATTGTTACGCCAATATTGACAGTAGGGACCTCGAGAATCTGCGACCGCTGGTCGAAAGTGTCCCTGCTACCCCTACCACTCCATACATCGACTTGGACTATAATCCGGTGCGGGAAGTCAACTATGCCGAGTTGGACTTGGATATTGCTAGCAAAGAGCCGGCTAGTGACATCTCTTCGGAGAGCCCGAAGGTAGAAAAGAAGAGTTATGCGACTATCGATTTTCAGAAAACGACGGCTCTTTCTCAGTCGATAAATCCGAGTATGGCTGTTGAGGAGGGGATAAGAAAAACTAGGCATAACTCAACGATCCATTCGTTGAGCGATTGAGTCATCGAACTTTGTGATTTATTATTTTTTTTCAGTATCAAAAGTTACTCAATAAGGTTGATCATAGATTCGAAAGTGTGCAATACTGTGATTTCTGTTTTGATTACCAAGTTTCATGCCAAAGGAAATCAATATATAGGTACTTTACAATTTATCCATAGTCTGCAGTAAGTTGAGAGCATATTGGGTCCACCCATTTAGTGCAACAATGATTAACGTCAATGTTATCCAATTGGCATCTCATTAAAAACAAATTCACATCCATATTCTAGCAGAATGCGTTTTTCACGAAGTTTTATGTTCATCTATAATATTAATATGATCATACAAAAAACAGGTTCATTATTTTGATGATTTCAATATGATAAGTAGAACATTTCATCCCTATATTCCTTACTGGACTTAGTGGTTTGAAATCTGACGAGATTCGTGAGCGGCAACTAGTATTGATATCTTTCAACATTCTCTGGACCTAATGATGGTGCGTTCACATGCTGGTTTTTCTCTTATTGGCTCACAGCGTTATCTAATTTTTATTTTTTTTATCGCTTGGAGCGCACGAAAGGGAATCCCTATAATGTTCGAAAAACATCGTGCGTTCCTAGGGAGGATAGGGATAGGAGGTAGGAATTGGAATCTTTCATTTTCTGATTTTTTTTTATCGCTTGGAGCGCACGAAAGGGAATCCCTATAATGTTCGACTTTTCGCGGAACAAAGCTCAAACTATTTGACAGAATGACAAAATATTCAGAATATGAATACTATAGGTGGTGCTATATTATCATATTATGCAGTATGGAGAACAGTGGTGGTAAAAACTAGTACAAACATAAAAACTGTGATTTCTAGAGAATATACACCCAAAATTTAACTGGATGTGGCTTTCACTGTTCGAACTTCTTTATGTGAACAGTGAGCCGTTTTAATTCAAGCTGGCATGTGATCGCGCCATTATAATATGTATAGTGAAATAGAAATCTTGAAAGTTCGAAATTCCCCTATCATTATTTGTCGTATCTCACATGGCTGCATATTTTTCAATCAATGGTATATAAAATTATAGATCTTATTGATATATTTTTTCACCAAAGGTACAAACATCATAAGGATTAGAGTGATAACCATTTACACTTTTCCATTTAAGTTATTCTCAGCAGAATTGAAAATTTTGACATTATGAGGCCGTACACTCCAAGCGAGTATCGCGAATTTCAAACAGTTAATCATTCACACAAATTATCTATATAGTTGAATTTTTAATTCCTGGAGGCTGTGTCAGCTTATTGCACTTATAATTACCCAGTTATTTTGACAATGTTTTTATTTGTTTTCTTTATTTCATTATTTCTTCAGTATATTATGTTGAAATAGGCAGGTATTGGTATTTTATGCTTGCGATACTATTTTTTTCTTGCACCTACCTACTAATATGATGACTCAAAAATTCATAGTAGGTATATAAATATCAATATTCCTCTGTTACATTCTCAGTTAATTATCAAAAACTGAATGGTAGAATCAGGTATATTCCAATCAAGTACCTATATACATATATAAATTGACATAATTTTTCAAAATGATCATATAAATTATACATTGAACATGAAAAAACGGCCTATATCTTTGTGATTAATTTCAAATTATTGCAAGATGTATTTAGATAAGTGCAAATTTGAATAATCAGTATATGTTCCGTTGCTATCTATTTCGGCAATGAGAATGATACGTTGCTGTATAATAATTGAAAATTACAAAAAAATAAATAGATGAAATGTGGCAGCTTTGTGAATGTGCAATATTATTGTGCTTATTTACTATGATTCACAAGGTGATATAACCTACCATGTCCTATACCAAAATAAATATAGGTGTTATATATTTTATACGAATTAGGTGGGTAATATGCAGTCAAATACAAAACTGTCTGAATTTATCGTAGCTCAAAGTTATGGCAGAAAAAGTGAGAAATTATGTGATGCCAATAAAACTTATTGAGGAAAACTTGAGAAAATATCTGATTATGATTTGGTTAGGAAGGTATGTACCTATATAAAAATGCCAAAGATATTATATATATATAGGTATACCATATTGTTATTCTTTAAAAATGTGTTGATTTGGTATATTAGTCCAATCAAATGGTATTTGAACGTGGAAAAAATCAAGTGGTCGGTTCATCTGCAATTTCATAAGTTTTTGAGGTTGCTGAATCTGAATCTGATGTTTGCAAACGGAATTTCTCGGAGCGTTCCAAGATATTCGCAAAAAATAGCGAAATTGCACTTTTTTCAGTTTTTCGCTGGTAACACGAAAACTATACATTATAGCGATAAAACTACCCCATACAAATCTGAAGTATACATGAAATTTCCTATGTTCAATTTTTCTTGCTCATGACTGAAGCACTAACGGGTAAAGAGCTAGAGCAACAAAATGGACCAAATTTGCGTATTCTGCAAAAATTTGTGTTCTTTGTCGGTTCTCGTAGATATATAATCATAATTAACGCATTTCTAGAATAAACAAACTACACTGCCTGATGTGGAGGAGTCCTGACCATGAGAGTTAATTCTCTTATCAGCGTGTAACGACTTGATTCTTGTTTTGCCACACTACTTCAGTATATTTTCATCAACTATGTAGATTAAATGTTTTCCACACCTGCCTCCTCAGCGGAGGAAAAATAAACAAATTTGTCTTCCGATCTCTGATGGTATATATGAGATTAACTTATTGTTTTTTTCCCTCCGCTAACGAATAGCAATTAATAGGCATGCGTGAAAAACAAACAGATTCAGATTCAGCACCATGAAAAATATAAAATCGCAGAGAAACTGATTGCTCGTTTTTTTTTCTACGAGAGGATCTTTATCGTTACCGTTTTACTGAGCTATTTACCAAACTCTGATAAAGTAGAATGTGAGTTTTATTAGTGATCTAAGGTGATTTAATCATAGTAGTGTCAACAAATATGTCAAACAGAAAATGCCAAAGATATATTTTCAATCGAAACTCTCAAGAATTAAATGTTGAACAGTTTGTTTCATTTGATGAAAATGAAAGTTTCATCATTTTATCTCTTTTGCTACAATATGGAATGGAGAAATGTGTATTTAATTTTTAATAAATGACATTTTGAAAACATGTTGTGAATCATTGAACCGCCATATGTGATGATATCGATAAGTACATGAGAGTTCCATAATCTCACGTGACTTCAGCGGACAGACACGGTGACGTCACTATTGAATTGACCATTTCTTCCTTGCTCTGCAACTGTCAGGATAGGTCTGTTTGTTTGTGTTGCTGAATTTGCTTAAAAACGCAGTAATTGTAAAAAAGTCTAAATGAGTTCTTTATCTACACCTATGCATTCGAACGCGCTCTGAATTCAAAAATGCAAAAAAGCACTATATAAAGAGATTGCTGAGATATCGTCGTGAAAATGATCACAGTGAGTGCAGAAATTGTCCCTCTTGTACCTCATGATATAGCATATCTGCATCTGAGTAAGAAAGAAAGCAGTATCCGCTAGTAGATACTGTTGTTTTAACTTACAATTCGTAGATACTACATTTTAACTCACGGTATTTAGGTGTACAAACAAGAATCAACAAGTAAATTATTTTAACTCACTGATAGATGAGGACAGCTCAGTTGTCTCCGTTGATTCCAGACGGTAGGTTCATTGAATTATACGCCGAAATATTTGGAAGTACAGCAACAAAAGTTATAGCGATGGTCCGCACATAATTCCAAAGTCGTAGAAAGTAGGAAACGTTAGAAAAAAACATGCAGATATTATATTTTATAAAACCACCCTGTTCATATATTAGCTGACTTACAGAAGATAAATATGTTACCTCGTATGGATATGTTCAAGACAGTTATTTTCATCTGACGTTTCACATCTTACAACGAAAGTTTTGTACCGGTGGAAAGAGTGCAGAAATCTCGACGATCATTCGCAGTTCTGTGGCACCACAGTATACACCCTAGAGGGTGTATACTGTGGTGCCACAACCAAGGAGGATATTAGTGTTTTTGTGCATATATTGTGATTTCTATAGCATGATGTCACTTATTGAAACTTTGGAATTTAATTATTTTGAACCAGAGCACACTCATGAGTGCCGACAGTTTTCACCACCAAGTTGAATTGAGTCTGAAGAAGAAAAATAAAACATATGATTTCCTAGACTTTGTAGCGATCCAATTTCAAAATCAAATTCAGGGAAAGTTGATGTAAAATCCATACAGATCAATGATTTTTTTCCAATGGAAATACCATCATCTCGTGGCGAAAACGGATAATATAAAACTCTCAGCTATTCCATTTCATATTTGATCTAGTACAGATCCGAGCAGAGCGAGTTCACAAAGAAGTACAAAACAGATTTCATTTCTGAAATAGAACTTTGACTGAATTTCATCAAAAACGCTTCAATGAAAATGATTGGCACTGAACCCATACTGCCGTGAGTGTGGAAGACGGTACCTATTGATAAAACCAGAAAGAAGGCTTTATATTGAAAGTAGTGGGATCACTGATTCACAGTTCTGTAGGAACCTCCCAGTCAAAAGAGAAAATCAATTCTACTTCAGAAAAATCATTTTTGTTTTCCTACAGTTTACATATTTCCTATTCATTATTATTCTATATAATATCTATGAATATTTCATATCGTTTGTTTTAATTTACCAATGCGGCATTGCAGTTGTGATCTCAGTTTGTGAATATTAAGATCAGTTGGATTATACATATCATGAAAAACCACATACTTACTGTTTCATGATTATCAATAATATATGAAAAATTGTTTCCATAAATTGAAATACAGCGCAGGCAGTTACTACGTTATTTTATTTTATGAAAAATGCTCAACGACTTCATATTCATAATCACAGTACTTGAAATATTTCTCGAAACACTCTTTGAATTATTCTGAAATTCACAGGAAATGAATCTGGAAAAATATTATGATACTTAGTCGGACTGAATTTCATGAATATATTTGAAATGAAACGACATCAATTGGTCTTTGAATTGTGAAGGGGTTTACTGCTATTTTACTTTTTTGTACTTACTGCATTCTTCATTGGCACTGCAGTATATAGTGGTCTCTGTTTGTGGCATTATGTAAAATGAGACAGTCACAGGAAAAATCAAGTTTAGCAGTTGGAGCAAACACAAACGAACATGCCTGATACAAACTATACAACCAACTCGTAAACTGACAAAACGCCGAGCATTCGTGAGTGATTATTAGTTTGAACATGTTAGAATAATTCGAATTTCAAGAGCATTGCTAAGCTGAACTGATCAACTTCCAGAAGAGTTGAATTCTCTCAAGAGCAAAATTCAAAATATAATACAATTGCATGTAATCTAGTACTTTTAATACTTGGCAACGCTGTTACTTTGCAGCTGTCACTACTGTCAAATAATTATTGTTTCCCCTCTACTTTTCGGTTCTTCATTGTTCGTTCTGTGGAGTTGAATGACATAACAAATAACCTAAAAGCAAAATTTTCATTTTCGGAGATCAGAAATCAAAAATACCTGACAAATCAAGAAAAAAATTAACAACGGGTATAATGGCTGGGATTATCACCCTCCAGCGTTCGCTCATCAAGAAGTTCCTTCCTGTCATCAACAGACGTCTTGTTTCCACATCAAAGAAGAACAATGATACAGTTACAGCTGAAGTGACAAGTACAGGGCCAGCTGAAGCCAAAAGTGCTATTGAAAGAAATTGGATGAGCTATGGGTACGATTTCAACTCAAAAGAAGCTGATAGAAATGCCATGCATTCAATTATGTTTGCTTCTATCACCCTGTGTATAGCAGTTTTTGGTTTCTACTTGGCCTATATGCCTGATTACAACTTGAGAGATTGGTCTCAAAGAGAAGCTTTCCTAGAGCTTAGAAGAAGAGAAGCTCTTGGCCTGCCCCTTATTGATCCCAATTTTATCAACCCTGATCAGATCCAACTGCCTTCTGATGATGAATTGGGTGAAACAGAAATTATTATTTGAGTTCATTTAGAGAATACCTGTTTATTGTAAATACAACTTTGAGTAAGTGGAATCTTATTTTAGAACTATACCTAGCTATACCTTACTTTCTCAAAAAATCCTAAATCCATTCCAGAAGTTTAATTTGTTTCACAAATAAACCATCATTTCTACCAACCTTGGAATGCTATATACTTGTGGCCATCTGTGTTGAGATGTTCGAGCTAGCACGGTGTTCCTCGTGTACAGAAATCTGTAATTTTATATTCTGATGAAGAAATCATCTCGCTATTTCCCCTCTGGTTCAAGTATATTCGTGAAGATGGCAATACGTTCATAGCAATCCAAGGTTGGTGGAACTGATGATAATTTGTATAGAAAGGTTGCCATGATCGATAGGGCGGCAAGGGGGGAAACGGTCATTCGTGACGTCACAGGCAGTAAGATGACAAGTTGTCGATCTTAAAGCGAAATGTCATTTAATGTTGTTGACCAAATAGATATACCATTGTCTGCTAAATATGGAGAAAAAATCTAGTGAGCTGGAACTAACAACATATCGACTTTTCCGTTTCTTGAATACATTTTCCATCTCTATTGATGAATCGTCCTATCGACAAAATTCTTTGGATAAGAATTGAGTTGGAGAACATTTTTAATGTGGTGGACTTCGTTATAACCACAGTCAAATTGAAAACAAACAGGGTCAACCACAACAAAATCAACCATCAATAACGACAAATATAATACCATACATTCCCGGCATATCTGAAAAAATAAAACGTGTTGGTGATACATTTCAAGTGAAAACTGTGTTCAAAACTGAAAATACAATGAGATCAATTCTAACTCAAACAAAGCCGAAAAATGAAGAACAATCGTCAAAAAATTGTATTTACAGTATACCTTGTGTTTGTGGAAAGTTTTATACAGGTGAAACCAAGAGACCTCTTTCAGTAAGGACGAAGGAACATAAGTACAATATAAAGAAAAGAAACATCGATAAATCGAAACTAGCTGAACATATATCCTTACTGAAGACGGACAACATATGGCAGAGTGGAAAAATATTAAAATTATTGGAAAAGAAGATAACAACCAGAAGAGAAAAATCAAGGAATCTGCTTGCATTCTTCTGAACGGAGACAATAGCATTGCTTCTTGTTCAGTTGATATAGACAGAACATGGTATTCACTACTAAAATTTGAACATGAAAATGGTAAATTCAAGATCAATTAATGAAAACATCCTGTAACTCATTTGATTGCCAACGTCACCAATTGTCATTGAAAACTGAAAAGCTTCAAGACATTATACGACTTCGCTATTGAAATAATCTCTTCTCATGTTGAAAACGGGAGCAGAACCGGTCCCGAAACGTCCAAAGATAAGTGAAAATTTGATATTTTTTCTATATACCTTTATTTCCCTTCTACAAAAATTTTTTCAATACAAATTGTCACTGACAAGCTAGTGAATTTTTCTTTTAGGCTCTCTGATAGGAAAATTCTTTAAACGCAGTGACATTTTGGGGCCAATCATCTGATTTGTCCTTACTACACGTATATTGAAATAATATTCATATTTTTATTTTATAGAAACGAGGAGAGAAAATCACAAAAAATTTGGAATAATGAATGTAGGTACCACCTCCTCGATTAACCTACAGTCAGTATATGGAAGCAGATTTTGAAATATTTTGTGTAGTTCTTAGGCAGGCTTGAAAATATGAATTTGGGGGTTCTTGGGGATGCTGAATCTGAATCTGATAGAAAAAGTTATATCTAAAATAAGCACTACCTACTAATAATATTCTTTCCCCAAATAAAGGCCTTCTTTTATACCCCTCCACATCGCACGACAATAGTGAATGGAACTATTCACTCTGCTTAATAATTCATTGTTCTAACATACAATCACCACCAAAATTTTAGGAAATTTGCATCGAGATGTTAGGGTGTAAGTATATTCATGAAAATAAGAGGGACACACTGTATATAAATAGCGAATCCAACAAAATCTGTGACATTCATTTATATAATAGATGTTCATGAAGAAATATAGTCTTCTGACTAATTCTAAGGATATATCCGTCTCTAATCTCTAGAATAATCAGATGGTCCGTTGTCTCCTTATTCTAGTTTACCTATTATTGTTTACAGAAGCTCCAGGAGCTATTCGTACCTACGTATATATAGGTGATGCAATTTACTTTGACATGCAAATTACAGAACAGACGCAAGGGAGACTTGTCTTGATATTACACTTCACACTAGACTGACAACTTCATTAAGTATGCAGAGTTCTGTGTATATTTATGCAAATATTTCAATTATTTTATCAATCGTCAACGAACCTACCTTCTTGGGTATTATGAATGAAGGGATGAAGCATTATTTCATATCTAAACATTTGCTTCTTTTAAGGAATTTATCTGCTATAGGAATTTTAGTAACTGTTTCAATAGACTGTTGATTGCAATAGATCTGTTCCCGATCTATTTCACGCTGAAAAAATTCCAAGAAACGATAATAAAATAAACCTATGACGTCATAACGTTTCGAAGTTATTCTTGTGATTCATTGTTAAATCAATAAGTTCAGCATCAGAAATGTATCGTTGTTTTCGGTTTTCAATAAGTAGGTGATAATTTTTCATAATACTCGATAATACATAGTTTTATACCATCAACATTTATCACTTCATCATTTTCAAATCGAAATATTCCGAAAACGGCACACAGTATCGAGTTTTACCAAGAGTATCTTTTTGGTGTGGAATTGAATGATCTTTAAGTTCACATCAAATTCGGATTGAAGAATCGAACCTCAAAAAAGTTATATATGTTCAAAATTACTCGATACGAACCGTGTAACTAGCGCCCTCTATGAGAGTCAGCTATAGAAACAAGTTCATGCGATGTGTCAGTTTTCAAGAAACATCCATGCAAAATTTCATAACAATGTTGCCAGTAGTTTCGACATAATCTTAAGAAATATTTAAAACAATAATTTTTTTAGCACCTTGTATCTTGATAACGGATGCCGTTACGACATTTTTCTACTGAGCAAACCCAACTTATTTTGCAGTGTTCTACCCACCCTAGTAAGGAGGTCGGGTTATTTTGAAACACCCTGTAGATCCAAGCATAGATCCTATAATAATCGAGGTAACGATGACATGCATGGCATAATCCTGAAAAGGTCAATCTCATCCATTCCTAATTGCATCGATTCGTCAATCTGATATATGTTATCTGAAAGATATATATTTTCCTGTGTTCCGGATGGCCCCAACCTAATCCTTAACGCGATCCAGGAAATCGCTAGGAATTGTTAAGGGCTTACTTCGATTCTTTCAATCAGGCCCTAAATCCGAATCTCGGAGGGTGGAGCTTTATACATCCATATTGTTTCAGTTTGGTGATCCGAATGATGTATAGACCCCTCTTGATAGCTCTCCCATGTAGGTAGGTAATATAATAGACGCGTTCGTTGTCGAACGCTGAACGAGAATAAGAAATGCTATATTATACCAAAACGGTTAGAACCCGAAAAGGAAATGGTGTTTCTAACTCATTCCAATCAATCCTGTGTTGCGATGATATACTTGGTATTGGTATTGGTAGGTTGGATAGTGACAGATGCGCTGCGACCTAATTAGATCTATTGTCCCCATCTGCTTCTGCGATATCAAAGATTTCTTGTTCATAGCAGCTCCTCATGATTCAATTCCTTCAGTAATTTGAGAATTTTGAGGAGATCTAGTTGTGGTATTACTTGGTGACAGATGGCCTCAGTCAGAGCTAGTGTGTTCCCAGTATGTTCAATCTTTTGTGATGTACAGCGTCACACTCCATCAGTATGTGATGGGGTGTTTCTAGTTCTTCCTCACAGGATCTGCAGGTGCCGTTCTCCTGGTAAGCGTAGCTTCCTTATATAGGTGTTATCTGAGTCTGCAATGCCCCGTTAGAAATTCCGATATTGCTTTGAGACGGTTGCTGAGGTTTATCAGCGTCTTAGATCATTCTTGGTTGAAATTTTCGAGGAGATCTTTAGCCTGCCGCAGTCTTGGAAGTCCTCACCATTGTCTGGCTCTCAAGGCTTTTTCCACCTTTCCAGGTTCTCCTTGGAAATAGCAATACCAAAGGCCGCAGAATGGCGCTGGCTGTTTAAACTCTCTGGCGCTGAAGCCACTTGTCGTACCAGAGTGTTTGCTTGTTCATACCCCTCCACTCCGATTTGCCCTTGCACCCAGAGGAGGATCACTTTATTGTTACTGCCTAGTTCATTCGATTTGCTTTGGCATTCCCATACCATCTTCAAATTGATGTTAAAAGAGCTCAGCGCTCTGATAGCTGCTTGGCTATCGGATAAAATCGCGATATCCTTCTTCCGGTATTTCCAGTCTAGGTTGAACTGGATGCATCTTTCTATGGCGTGTATTTCCGCTCGAAAAATTCTGGGGAATTGTCCCATGGATTCGAAGTATTTGGTGCGAGGCCCAAAGACTCCTGCTCCAGTTCCCTCGGGTGTTTTAGAGCCGTCCGTAACTTTTTTGACAAACCACTTATTTTTTTGACAGAACAAATTATACAGCTGGGAACTATAAACTGTTACCTACAATCCTGTGATGATTTCTATCGCCAATGTTGCGAACCCGAAATTCTGGGTAAGGTAGGTAGTTTTAATCAGTTATTCAATTCAGAAATCAATTCTGCATGATGAAAGAAATTATCGAACCACATCGAAGACGAAGATCATCGTCATCATATTATCATTTAATTTTCTCGAATGTCTATATTATAACACGACCTATTTAAGCTACTTCGTTCCTCTCAATATTTTCTCTTCGTTGGGAGTTGTGAGAAATATATTGTACACAACTCACATTAGGAGAGAGCGATATAACATGCTCGTGATTCACGAAACTTCACAATCATTACATGTTATATGTCACATTCCACGCTCGTTGTGTGATACACTATTTCATATTCAAGTGTGTCAGCTTTGGTTTTTGC